CTAATGAGTCAATAAAACTCACCGGCTCGTCCCTAAGCTACTGTATATATGGTCTATATCTCAGCTGTTTAATGAGATGTACAGTTCGAAGCATATTTAAATCTCGAAGCATGTGAGTGTGTATGTGTGTGTTTGTGTGTGTATATATGTGTCTTCATGCGTTAATATATTTACGAAACCGGCAGTGATGGCTCAAGGCATTTAGTATATGCTTATCACGTTTTTACAAGAATCTAAGGAGATTGCCTCGCAAATGGCTTCAACAAGAATGCTCCAGTGAAGCCAACTGACAGCCGGTCAAGAGTAATCTGCCGTCGTTTTCTGGCGGTAAGCACCATTAAATCTCTTCACCAAACACTTGCACTTGAAATGAAAGTAAGCACAACAATTATGACAAAAGAGATTCTTCTAAACTCAACTTTTATTTTTCGAATTAAGTAGTGTTTTCGAGACTACCAGTAAGTAAATCAGTAGTATGAGATGTATTCACCCAATTTTGTTTAAGGTGATGTAGGACTGGTAGAAGAAGAATTTTCCCACAATCATATGAGTTTTGGTGGAAACTTCAGCTCATCTCATATCATTGTGGGAAAATTCTTCTTCTTCCTTGAACAAAATTGTGTGAATACATCTCATACTACTGATTTACTTACAGGTAGTCTCGAAAACAATACTTAATTCGAAAAATAAAGTATACTAGTCGATTGTGCTTCATCGACAATTCCACCAAAAAAATATGATATGAATTTGCCCTGTGACCCAAAAGGCGTTCGTGGCAGTTGAGCCGAGTAGTTGACGTGTCAAGCTCCCATCCTGCACTGTCGCGGTTCGAGTCCCGCTGACGGTGTTGAACAGGACCGATGCGAAGTCGAAATTGCAGTCCACTGGTGCCTGGAGGAGAAAAACTTTTGGGAAAGTAAGACAATGTGAAATTGAATGAAAACTTCAGCTTAACTCATATGATTGTGGGAAAATTGTTATTCTCCCAGTCGTGCATCACCTTAAACTAAAATTGGGTGAATTCATCTTAACTTTTATTCGCATATACTCTGTCATTTCTGTTGAAATATGGCTGATGTACCGAGATCTCATGTTGACCAGATCGGTGTCTAAGAGAGGGCTGGTTGGTGTGAGTCTCTGGAAGAAATGTGTCACACCTGTTCTCGGTTCTAGTTTACCTTCGAGAGCATTTCGACTGCAAAATGACTTGTCATTGCTCGATCCGGTGTCATGCAGAGAATAAAATGGAAGTCAACTTTTTATTGTAGATTGTATTACTGGCAGAGTAATCCGAGAGCCTGTAGTTCGCTCGGACCCTTTTCGTCAAGCCAAGTCGAAACTGGGGCCATCGCACATCATTTGGGTGAAGATGACACTTGTTGGTTGGCTGACTCGACTATTGGGAAAAGTGCACATGAACTGTGCGCTTCATAAATGCCCTAAACAGCAATTAAATGCTGAGCATGTGTTCTAAATAGTACAAACAACAGATAGACTTCAAGGCCATGCAACTTCTATTTAGTTCACTTTGTCGGGCTAGTTTGAATTTGCCATCTTACTCAGCTGCACTACTGACCTGATCTTATAAGTAATATATAATCACCTACTTTTGAATGAATTTTTTTATGATCTACAGTTTGGGCTTCTGCTCTTTCTTGAGAGGTTGTGTCGAATAGTTAAGTCTCTAACCCAGCCTATTCCTTATCAGTACTCAAATAAAATGAGAATATTTCCCCTTTAATTTGCAGTCTGCAAGAAGATTTCGTGGCGCTTTTTTGCGTTTAACTATGTCTTATCCTTCATACCTGTTGCCCCATTTGACCATGCGCTTCATCTGCTTTCATATGCTTTTTTGCTATCGTCTAACTTAACTTTTGCCTCGAAGGTATGAAGACCAAGCTGATGTTGTAAAGTGGTTGTTTGACCTTGTTTCGGCAAGTTGATTATGTTGACAGAAAGACCTGGAGGAAGGCATGCCAATTTCTAAAGTCGGATCTGAACCAGGGAGATGGTAGACTGATCCTACGGGGCAGTGGGAAGTGTATTGTGGACTTATATGGTAGACTCAGGTGAAAGTTCCCAGCACGAGGGTGAATGGGGGTGAGAAAGCCAGTGTGAGGTGTGAAGAAGTCGCATGAAATCGGCTTAAAATAGTACAATGTATCACATTTAAGAAGCAATAGTGCAGGGGTGGTACGAGGCTATGAAAAAATGTGAATAGCCCAGGACAGAAGGAGAGATATCACAATTGATCGGCTTCACTTGTCTCCTTGACGAGTTGTAGTGTTGTGCTAAAAAACGTCTGGGAATGTACCATGTCCACGGTCCAACTTTGGAAATTAATTGTTTTCCGTTTATAATATTCTCTTTAAGCAAATAATTGCTGCATTCGATGTGATATTTTAGCTTTAGCCAACAATGAATGACTGTCTTTTTTATGTGCTGTTTATGCTTAACCCTACAGCGGGACCTGGCGACGAGTACACGGACTACGTGGCTACCCGTTGGTATCGAGCCCCAGAGCTCTTGGTTGGCGATACACAATACGGGCCTCCAGTTGATGTTTGGGCGATCGGATGCGTTTTCGCAGAAATGCTCAACGGCATGCCGCTGTGGCCGGGCAGATCTGATCTGGATCAGCTCTATTTGATCATCAAGACCCTCGGTAGGCGTCATATATGCGCTTTAGTGCTTATTTTTATACATTTTTTATAGTGAAATAGGGCCAATCAACCGGAGATGAAACTCGTTCAGTTAACCTGAAACATTAGAATCGGTCAAAGGTAGCACAGGACCACAAAATGAACTGTCTTTTAATCCGGTTTTCAACAATCAGCACAGAAAATGAACTCTTAAATGAATCATTTTAGCCCACAAGTTGGGAAGATACATACATACACAAACAACTTTTCCTCCATTCAAAGCATTTCCATCAAATCTCTGCTCATTCGATGCGTGATCGAGTCATCTCATCTTGCTTGGTTGTCGAATCGCTTTGGTGTAGAGTTAAAATATGTGCTGAAGGTACTCGAAGCTCGCAACTTTGTGTACACATTAACGCATAAACGAAGCCTGTAGATTGAAAGATGCCATGAATTAACCAAAGCTTTCTTGACTTGAATTGTCCCATGCCCTGATGATGTCCGACATATTACACGCGTTTTTTTCTACCGAAATCGAAGAGGATTGCCTCGGGAATGGCATCATCAAGAATGGTTCGGAAACCGACTTTTATTAATAAATTGTGTTCGTCCAAAAGACACAGAAACTCAAGCCTTTAAAGACATCTATTGCAAAGCCTCAATTAATTTTTATTTGACCAACCGCATACGAAATATATTCGCCCCGTTCGAGCAGATTTGTCAGGTCTGGAACGAGGAATAAGGATTTTTGGGATTGAAGAGAGTAAATTTGCGGATCGTTTATGGAATACAAGAGCAAGACCGATTTTGTGGCTCCTCTCGAAAAGGTCCTGCTAGTTATGAGCAAATAGATTTGCCTAAGAAATCCCAGACTCATGTCAATGAGGCATCTTGTCCAAAATTGTTATATTATCGGAAAAAAGGAAAATTACATTATTACCATGTTAGTTGATTTTTATAATAACTTGGCGCGCCTGCCGCATTTCCAGAGAACGTAGAATGCGTCTGTACTGGCTTTCGAGTTGAAAAGTTAAATTTTATCGTTTATTTGCAGAAAATTCATCTTATTCAAGGTATTTACGGAAAAAAGTTACTATTCGATGCATTTCTTGCTTCATACCTGTTGAACTCATCATGTGTGAGGAAGAGATTCTTATCAGGTATTGCACAATCCCAGTGCATTTTGTGTGAAAATGTGTTGTGTAGTGACTCGTGAGTCTGTCGGACCAGAAGACGACAACTGAGCATTTTTGTTCAACTGTCGTTCGGTCTTGCTGTAGCCTCCAATTTTAAGCTCAGGTGTCTCCCATGTCACCTGACAGGCATCATCAGGGCTCTATCTCATTCTCACGACTGTTTCGAGTTCAGCAGGCGGCAATCGGAACCGAAGGGGATTGTCTCGGGGACGCTATCAACGAGAAGGTTTTAGTAAAGTCACATGTCATTTGTGCATGAGATGAGTTCAGTCTATTTCATTGAAGGTGATGAAGGACTGATAGTTGAATTTCTCCACAATGATGATATGTGTAGAACTGCCGTTTCCACTAAATTGCATATAGCCCTGTTCTCCCAAATGGTGTTCTCATCCCGACTGGAGTGGACTGATGTTTCGACCTCGCATTCGGCTGAACAACACCCCCAGCGGGACTCGAACCGTGACAGGCTAGCCACTCTGCCACATTGCCACGAGTGCCGTTGGGTCACAGGGCAAGTGTGAATTCCAAGAAAAGTATGAATTGGTTGGTAACCTTCTCAGTCGGGCATGTTAAACTCACTGAAAATGTCAGTTTTATTCATATGATTGTGGGGAAATTGTACTACTAGTCCTTCATCACCTTCAAAGAAATTGGGTGAATACATCTCATATAGAACTGTCGTTTCCTTTACATTTCACATAGCCTTGCTTTCCCAAAAGGTGTTCTCATCCCGACTGGAGTGGACTGCTGTTTCGACCTCGCATTCGGCTTAGCAACACCCACAGCGGGACTCGAACCATGACAGTGACACGTCAACCAATCGGCCACATTGTCACGAGTGAGCTTGGATCACAGGGCAGATGTGAATTTCAAGGAATGTCGGGCATTTTATGTATCACATCATGTGTTGTGGATTATCGATGAAGTAAACTCATATTTACCGGTAAATCAAATATATGAATAGTCTCGAAAACCTACTTATTTACGAAAAAAATATCACTTGGTCAAGAGGAATACTCTATCAACTCTTGATGTAATCTACCCAAGAATCTCTTCATCACAGAACTTTCACACGAATTGGGAGTGAGTTGAACCAATGACGTTTTCCGCCCTTGTTCTCTCTTCGGTCATTTTTCCTCAGCAAATCCGCTAATCTTTACTGTTAAGG